CCTCCCGGCTCCCCGGCCGCGCGCCCCCAGGCGTGTGCAGCCCGGTGCCTGCGGCTTCACACGGACCGCTGAAAGCTGCAGCCCCGCGTTCGTTATCTCCCCTTTACTTTGCCGACCTTAGATCCGAACGCTGACCCGGCGAGGAAATGGAGTAACATTTTCGAGGAGGTTAAGGCATGGATTTGGTTTTCACGCTGACACGCAAAAGACTTTTAAGCGCTGATGGCTGTTCTTCGATGAAAGGTTGCTGGAGCTTCTTTTGACATATGGCAGCAACACCCCCACGTGTTTGATTCCTATTATTTCCACTTCCTTTCCTTTCGAAATTCCCACCCGGCCTTCTTTATTTTTAAAGGATAGCACATCTCACTGGTGTAGCTAGGAAGTCGGGGTGAAAACCCCACCCGGGTGAGTTGTTTCCTTTTTTTGCAAGGATCCTGCCTAACTTTGGACCGTGCAGCCAATGAAACCCGTAGCAGTCCGGTGGCACTGCGAAGTCCCCGGCACACGGGATTAGATTTTCGCTTCTAAGCGGAGATCCAGGGTTGTCAGAGGGAGAGGGGGTCCTGAGATTTCCAATCTATTGTTTAAATGGTTACATTGTGGAAATCTAGGCGACTCTTAGCTTGTTTTTCTAAGTTTCCACCCTTTGTTAGAAGCGGTTCAATCCTGTTTCGGACCAGTTCTGGGGGGTGATGAGGAGGGGCGCGCGCCGTGCTCTGCGCAGATTGGCTACACGCGTCAGGTGGTGGAGATGACTTAATTCCCAGCCCGAGGAGAATATAATGTTAAAACTGGTTATGTAATTTCTGTGCTTCTCCTTTTTAATGCAGTATTCAGTTCGAATGTTAGTTTTTCAGTGCTAGAGATGTGTCTTACCTCTTTTTATATTAAAGGTGTACATTCTAGGCAAATGCTCGTTAAGCTGAGGCAAACGAAGGATGCTTTGAGTTACAGTATTCAAGCATCGTTTTTGAGAATATTAAGGTGAAACCGGTTCTTTAGTCGGGTCTTGATAGTTACGCAGGGGTGCGTTACCTCGGGAACTAACTGCTATAATGGACCGCTCCAAGCGGTTAAGTAGTTAGGAAACGCTGAAGCCCGCTGACAGCCCCGCTCTGTGCTGCAAAGCAGACGCGCGTTAAGTTCGGACTTGACCCTTTCTAGACCTTGCAGCCTTTTATAATAAAACAGCCAGGAGACAAAAGGATTTTTCTTTAAGGAGTTGAGGTTTAAAATGGAGGAAAAGTAAAACCAGTGCGCTGTGGGTACAAACAACGTCTCACTGGTTGCATCCCGATTCTACAGTAAAGAAAACCAATTGCCCGCGCCCCTCCGGCCATCCCCAGAGCCCCGCTACGCGCGGACAAGCCCCAGCCTGGAAGAGTTTCAATGACTTAGAAGTGGGAGCTTCCAAACTCGCCTGGTCACGGAGGCCCCGCCCCCGGCGGCCGGCGATAGGCGGAGCTCGGTTTGTTAGCCTGTTGCTAAGACGATGCCAGGCGCTGATTGGATTGGGCCGGGCGGGTGGGGAGACGC